GGAAGCATATTCCCATATGCATAGAAGAGACAGTTATCTCTTTTTCTATGATTTGTATGTGCATGACTTTCCTTCAAATTTTCTTTCTTTTTTTCCTTTTTAAAAGAATTACTTTTAAGAGGGCTTTGATGCTCTGGAAATTAAAATTCTTCTTGCTTTTCTCACTCCAAATCCACGAGGAGAACTATAATAAAAAGCAGCAGGTACCGGCGTTGGTGAGAGCACAGAGAAATTGGAACGATCGCCCCTGCTGGTGGGAATGTGCACTGGCGCTGCCACTTCAGATAACCGTCTGCTAGTTCCTCAGAAAGCTGAACCTAGAGCTATCATTTGAGCCACTTATTCCACTCCTAAGTATGTATGCAAGAAAAAAAAAACCGTCCACATGAAAGCTTGGGCCGGAATTATTACAGCAGCTTTGTTCATTACAGCCAAATGGAGCCAATGTAGAAACAGCGCGAAGGCCCGACGATGGGTCACGTGATAAATGAAACGTGATGTCGACACAACGGACTAGCACTTGACAATAAAAAGACATGAAATAGCAATGTGAGATACATGGATGAACCTTGAACACATGCCAAATGAAAACCAGTGGACGCGGATAGCACAACAATAGGATTCCATGTAAGCAACGTGACCAGAGTAGGTACATGTGTGTGGAGAAAGTATGTTACTAGTTATAAAAAGGGGACAGGGAAATTGGGGGTTGATGGCTAATACATTCCAGTTTAGTTTTTTTTTTTTTTTTTTGTCATAGAACACAGGCACTTGCGAGAGAGAAGAGGTACAGAGAAAGGCAGTGAGTGGGAAAATGAGAAATCATCCTCCAGGAGGGAAGCCCAAGCCACAGTCCCTTCTCCATTGCCCTAGGATTTGAGGCATGCATGCACACGCACCCGGCATGATTTTCAAGTCAACAGGCCTGGAATGTGGATCATGGTGGGCCATGTGGGAGTTCAGTGCTTTACCCATCATGCCACCTGCTGGCCCTCAGGGGTTTTGTTTTGTTTTGTTTTAGGGTATTAAAAAATGTTCTTTTAAAATTGACTGTGGGGACCAGCAGTTAGTGTAATCGCTATGTCGCTGGACTCCCATGTAGTCGACCGTGGTTCCAGTCCCGGACCTGGGGGCTTAAAATCACATCAGACGCA